ATTAAAAGATTCTCTGGGCAAACTACTGAATGATGCAGAAAGCATCAAGAGAGAAAGAATACACAGAGTCACTCCACCCAAAGGAAATGGTTAATGTTCAACCATTTCAAAAGGTAGCATATGCTGAAGAGCCAATGATACTGAAGGAGGAAATCCAAGGTGCATTTAAGGAATTGGCAAAGAACAAGGCACCAGAAATTGATGGAATAAAAATGGAAATATTTCAAGAAAGTGAGGTGGCATAGTAGGCACTCACTCATCTCTGCCAAGAAATTTGGAAGACAACTATCTGGTCAACTGATTGGAAGAGATCCATATTTGTGCCCATTCCAAAGAGAGGTGACCCAAAGGAATGAGGAAATCATTGGACAATCTCATTGATAGCCCATGCGAATAAAATTTTACTAAAGGTAATACAGAAATGGCTGCAAGCATACATTGACAGAGAACTTCTAGAGGCTCAAGCTGGAGTCAGAAGAGGCCGTGGGACGAGGGATATCATTGCTGATGTCCGATGGATCTTGGCTAAAAGCACAGAATATCATAAAGATGTTTAATAGTGCTTTATTGACTATGCAAAGGCTTTCAATTGTATGAATCATGACAAGCTATGGACAACATTGCAAAGTATGAGTTTTTCGGAACACTTAACTGTGCTAATGAGGAATCTGTACCTGGACCAAGGGGCAGTTGTTCGAACAGAACATGGCAACACTGAGTGTTTTAAAATTAAGAAAGGTGTGCAACAAGTTTGTATTCTTTAACCATACTTATTCAACCTGTATGCTGAGCAAATAATCTGAGAAGTTGGGATCTATGGCATCAGGATTGGAGGAAGACTCATTAACAACCTGTGATATGCAGGTGAGACAACCTTGCTTGCTGAAAGTGAAGAGGACTTAAAACATTTACTGATGAAGATCAAAGTGCAAAGCCTTCGGTATGCATTACATATCAATGTAAAGAAAACAAAAATCCTCACCACTGGACCAGTAATCACATTCTCATCAATGGAGAAAAGATTGAAGTTGTCAAGCACTTTGTTTTTCATGGATCAACCATCAACACTCACGGAACCAGCAGTCAAGAAATGAAACGACGTATTGCATTAGGCAAATCTGCAGCACAAGACCTTTTTAAAGTGTTGAAGAGCAAAGATGTCAGCTTGAGAACTCAGGTTTGTCTGACCCAAGCGATGGTATTTTCAATAACCTCATATGCATGCGAAAGCTGAACAGTGAATAAGGAAAACCATAGAAATATTGATGCTTTTGAGGTTATGGTATTGGAGAAGAATTTTGAAAGTGCCATGGGCTGCCAAAAGAACCAAGACATCCATTCTGGAAGAAGTGCAATCAGAGTGCTCCTTGGAGGCCAGGATGGCCAAACTTCATCTCGCATACTTTGGGCATATTGTCAGGAGGGACCAGTCGCTGGAGAAGGGTATCATGTTTGGTAAGGTGGAGGGTCAAAGAAAAAAAGGAAGACCCCAATGCGATGGATTGGCCAAGTGGCAGCATCGATGGACTCAAGCGTGGCAACAGTAGTGAGTTTGTCCCAGGTTGGGCAGTGTTTCATTTTGCTGTGCATAAGGTCGCTACGAGTCGGTACTGACTCGATGGCATATAACAACAACAGACTTATGATAGGTAAATGAATAAAGATGAACAGGCACAAGCTGCATATAAAACAAGAAACAAAATCCCTCATTTCTAAAAGAAATATACTCTGTCCTGCCTTATTTAAAACAAATAGCCCTCTTGGTCTATCTTCCATTCTTCCACTTTTAACAGAGATATGAGTTCAAGATATATATCATTATCCTCTTGACTATGATGGTGAGTCAAAAATTATTCACATTCTGACAGTAGAATTAATCAACTTTTAACCAACTTTTAGAAAACACATCACTTTTCAACATAATCCTGCTTTTCAATACACTTTGTCTATCTGTCAATAAGCTTTGCCACTCCTTTATTAAAAATATATATATATTTTAGGCTGAGCTGTGATCCACAAATCCACCGCTGTCTTCATTTCTTCATCAGAGGTGCTAGGAGGGCTGTTTTCAGGGGACCAAACAGGTGAAAGTCTGATGGAGCAAGATCAGGACTATAGGGAAGATGCTTAACACTTCAAAATGAAGTTTTTGAAGTGTCAACATTGTGAGCAGAGGTGTGCAGATGCGCATTGCCATACAAGATCACAATGCTGTTGGGTAGCAGTTCTTTGTGTTCATTCTGAAGTTGAGGCTTCATCTCTTCACTGAGCATCTCACTGTCATGAACAGTGTTGATTGTTGAACCTCTGTCTTATTAGTGTTCCCATGCTGGCCCTTGAGGAACCCAGGAAACTGTAATCATCAATTTTCCAGTTGATGGTTGACTTTTGAATTTTTTCTTGAGGGGTGATTGAGGATGTTTCCATTCCATACTCTGCTGTTTACTTTTAGGCTCATAGTGATGAATTCATGTCTCATTAACAGTAACATTTTTTGTTTGTTTTAAAATAAACCTTTCCCTTCCTTTGTTTATAGGACCACATTTTGTTTGCAAATGTCCAAATTCTTCTGTTTATGTACTTCCATGAGTTTTTTTCGGTACCCATCTTGCATAAACTTTTCAATACCTGTCTGTCGTGGCTTATTTCATAGGCAGAGCCAAGGCTGATTTGCAAATGCTTTGCCACATAATCCATGCATCTATTCAACAAAATCATTTCATGAGCACACTTACTGTGATTATCAGATATGGAAGTGGACAGCGTTTTAATATAACCAGAGTGTGTGTCATTTTTGACTCAACCTCATATATTATTGTTCTTGTTTTTTTTTTTTTTAATGTTTTATTGTGAATTTTATGATAGTTTACATGGGGGAACTTTAGTTTTACATTAATTCCATCGTATATCATCTATCTCATTGCCATGGTTCCAATCCCCTCCATGTATCATCAACCACCCAAAAGGTATATCCCAGAAACCCACCCCCTACACTTCCCCCTCCTCCACCCAGTTTTCGGCCTACAGTCCCTTTCCTTCTCTGGGTCCAAAGTCCCCAGTCGCTTTATCACTCTGCGTCATCATCTCTGCCTCCATCTCAGGCATCTCTGTTTCTCTGGGTAGGGTCTGTTCTTGTTGTTAAGTGCCATTGAGTTGTTTTCAACCCTTAGTGAGCCTGTGTAGGGTTTCTGAGGAGTGACTGGTGGATTTGAACTGTTGTACTCTCCCTTACCGTACTTACTATACAACAACAGAAACACTTTGATATTAACAGCTGACATCCCATAGAGAGGTACTAGAGAGTGGGGTGATGTTGTTAGGTGCTGTCAAGTTGATTCCTACTCATAGTGATCCTATGTTGTTGTTGTTGTGTACTGTCGAATCAGTTCCAACTCATAATGACTCCGTATGGTGGTGGTGTTGGTAGTGTGCCATGGAGTCAGTTCCAACTCATAGAGTCCCTGTATAGGGTTTCTGAGGCTGTAAATCTTCACGGGAGTAGAAATCCTCATCTTTCTCCTGTGGAGCGGCTGGTATTTTTGGACTGCTGACCTTGAGATTAGCAGCCTGACTTGTAACCACTATGCTACCAGAGCTTCTTAATGACCTGTATAGGGATTCTGAAAGCAGCTGATCAGTTTGAACTGCCAATCTTGCAGGTAACGGTCCAGTGTTTATCCTACAACGCTACACCAGGCCTCACAGTGCAGAGTAAAACTAGCCCATCAGGCTTCCTAGGCTATAAGGGGAGCAGATTTCATGGTCTTTTTTTTTTTTTCTGTGGAGCAGTTGGTGGGTTCCAACCTCTGGTCTCTGGTTAGTAGCATAGTGTTTAACCACTGTGCTAGCAGGGGTCCTTAGATGGTATGGATTGGGTTGAGATGCGAAGTTGTTGCTCAGATCCAGCCGATTATTGTCACTTAGGGATTTGGGCTGAATGTCATCAGTGTTTTCAATTTTCCAAGAGAAGCTAGAAATTTAGATTTTTATGTAAAACATCCTGATTTTTAAATATGACAAAGAATCTAATGAAAAACAAGTCAAGATAAATCAATATGATGCTACTGAAAAGATTCTGCAACCTGCTTTGCAGCCTCACATCAATGGTTCTGAGCTTCTGTGTGCATCAGAATCATCTGAAGACTTTTTTATCTATTTATTTTGATGTGAGACACTTCTTTAAGGAGTCCTGGTGTGGCACTGTAGGATAGGCACTCAACCGTAAGGTTGGTTTGAACAGCAAGGTTGGAGATTCAAACTCACCTGACACTCCTGGGAAACCCTATACAGGTTCTTTATGGGTCAAAATTGACTTGATGGCATTTAACAACAATACAGTTATTTAAAAAGAGGCATGGAATATCCGTATTGTTTGTCTGTGTGTAAACGATTTCTGGAAGGGTCAATTAGAAATTAATAACAATGGTAACTTTGTGTGAGGGGCACTGAGAAGTGCCATGTAATTCTTTGGTATGTGTTGGGGCTTAAACCACACATGTGTGAAGATGCTAACTTTTAAAACATATGTATAAGGTATAGCCATTTCCCTTCTTCTCTCACCAAGATTTTGATTCAGTGGTTTTGGGGTTGGTTTGAGTAGCTAATGTTAAAATAGACCATCAAGCAAAATAATCAATCCCTCAAAGGGGACTTTGCCACACATAGCGCTGCCTGAGAATCCTTGCTAACGGAAGTAGTTAGTATTCTTGCTCAAGTCTGCCAGACACCACACATATTTGCTGGGAGATAAGGAGGCACACATTTTTTCCTGATGTTTGCTCTCAGGGTGGAAATGTACAATATTACCATGGTCTGGATACATGAATGCAGGTGTATTCTAGGAAAAAATATGGTCCTTTTCACGCACTTTATTCTGGCCCTTCCCACAGGGATAATGTCACTGCGGATCAGTTGTCACTTCAGATCCCAATCCAGAACAGTATACAACACTTCCTACATAGAACTTATTAGGAATGAAGAAAAAGCAAGTAAAGACTTACCCGATGAAGGATTGTGTAGATGAGGAAGGAGTGGGGGACCCGAGGGCTCCTGGGGACCGGATCTGCCAGTGAGCATTCTGTCTTGTAACTTATCTGAAGAAGTTACAGTGCAAGCTTTGTAGGAGAACACCTGATTACAATCACTCCTCCAGGGATTCTCTAGCAAGGTCTGGCAGCCAGTTCTGTTATTTAATAAGTCCTGTTCACTTCTACTTTTCTGAGATCTCTGAGCCATATGATGAGGACCGGAGCTTAGCCCACTATGGGAAGTAGCCCCATGGGAGGCTGTCAGAAAGTTATTGCCCAAAGTGATAGGTGGAAGACTTTGCGTTCTGATTGGTGGAAGCCCCTTATGGGTCAGAGACTTCTTTTCTGGCAAGAGATATTTTGAATTCTCTGAGGTCCTCTTCTTTAATTCAACCATAGCCACCTGGTCACCAGACTGTTCTTGGCAGTTGGCATCCACGATGCTGTCAAAGGTGGTGATGATGTCATCAACTTCCGAGGTATCCTCCCCCCTGTATCGGTCCCTGCTGTGATCCTTCTGATGGGCTCTCTGTTGCTCTTTCTTATTTTTGCAGAAGATCTGGTTGAGCATGCCAAATCGTCCCTCCTTCTTCTGGGGTCTACTGTTTTGAGATGGAAGAGGTTGAATAGGCTCTGTTCTATGGGGATATAAAATAACAAGGATGTTATATGCTATGAGTCAGAACTGACTTGGTGGCAGTTAACAACATATGAGGATAGAAAACTATAGCTCTCAATTCCATCTTCTTGAACCAGTTATCTGAAATGCATTTCAAAGACGCCTCCTATCACCTGTCAAGTCAAAGGTGATGTGCAAGAACTCTCAACACCCTTTGCAACTCTTCTCCCAGAAGTGGTTCCTTACTATGGACAATGAGAACATTTCTTAGATTCCTCTTGTTCCCTCAGGGGTAATTCATTCAAAATTGATCCCTAAATTATCTAAGGATAAATGAACCTGAAAATAGTTTGCAGGATTACTGTTCTCTTCTCACTTTTTAAGGGCAGTAGGTGTGTTGTTGCTGTTGTTAAGTGCTATTGAGTTGATTCTGACTCAGAGCAACCCTGTATCATATTTCCAAGGAGCAGCTAATAGGTTTGAACCACTTACCTTATGGTTAGCAGTCTAGTGCTTATCCTACAGCACCACACCAGGAGTCTAGTAGGTAGCTGTGTGGTGGTGGTTATGTGCTGTGGAGTCGGTTCCTACTCATAGCAACCCTGTACAGAGTTTCCAAGGCTGTAAATCTTTCCGGGAGCAGAAAGCCTCATCTTTCTCCTGTGGAACAGCTGGTAGTTTCGAACTGCTGACCTTGAGGTTCGCAACCTGATTCGTAACCAATATGCTATAAGAGCTCCTTCTCTGGTAGCGTAGTGGTTACAAATTGGGTTTTAGGCCTGCTGAGAGAGATCAGAGGAGATCCGGGCAGAGCATGACAGTATCTATTTTTAGAATGGTGCCTATTTTATAACTATTTGTGTCATTTCTCTCGGTTTTTACTAGCTTTTCTATTGAAAAATACTTTTTAAAAAAGTGTATCCTAAAGGAAACCAAAGCAAGAAACTTTGTTTTGGAGAGAAGGAGGAAATGAGTGAGCCAGCAGTTGGGTGGAGATTCAGAAGAACAGTGAGCATTGCTCAATGGGAAGGCAAACTCAACAGGAAAAAGACCAGCAATTTCCAGCTGACTCTTATCTGCAGCATTTCCCTGAGGAGCTATTCTGTTTTTGTGTCTTGGAAAATTTGTGTTTCATGCTACAATTGATTTAATGCTTTCTGTTGTCTGTTATATATCCTTAAGAACCAGATTTCAGCATTACTTTTTGGAGTGAGATAGTGTAACCTGTAATTTGAAAACCATCACCATTTCTGCTGCATATAATAAATGTTTTTTTCCTTCCCTTACAGGTCATATAGTGCATATTCGAATTATAGTCCCATGATTTATTTATTTAAACAAAAATAAGTATTTTTAGAGTTTTAATGCCGTTCCCAATGGTCTCCCTTTGTCACCCTTCTAACACACACCCATTTTTTCCCTGCAATGCAATCTAAGTAAGTTTTCAATAGCATCTTCTGAAAATCCTTTTTTGATTTAAGTTGTTGATGCTTATTCTATTGAATTTCATAGCAAGTGAGGATCATTCGATTCATATTCATGTCTTATAAGTTCAAGAAATTCTGCAGGACTGGACTGCTAACCAACAGCCTGGTGGTTTAAACCTGTTGCCAAGAAACCCTATGCAGGGTCGCTATGACTTCATTACTGAAAATCACTTAACAACAATAAAAGCAACATACGTTCCAATAATAACTTCTTGCTGCATACATTTTGTCTGCAAGGAACGAGGATCCTGGTATTGTTTTTAAATCAAAGTTGATTTAGGATGATGGTCAGTCACCTGTCACAGGTGGTGGGTATTTCTTCTTGGCATTTTTTTTTTTTGTGACGTTTTTATTATGAATTGAGTGATAGTTTACATGGAAGAACATCGGTTTTACACTCATGTTTTATTGCAATGATTGTAATCGCCTCCATGCATCATTATTCAACAATATTTGCTTGTACTCCTTATGTTTTGTTTTTATTTTTGTCTCTTTTGGGTAGGGGGAGGATGTACACAAAAACACTCAGGAATATATAATCATTTAAACAATCAAAGGGCATGTTCTGTAAGCTTGACCCTTGGCCGCCAGCACACAGTCTTGCTCTTTCCATGAGTCTAGAGTCTTTAGCTGTTCCTTCTCTCCAGGTCTTCATCTCTGCCTCCATCTCTCGTGTTACTGCTTCTCTGGATAGGGTCTCACATTCTGTTAGTGCTCTTCTCCCTTGATGGTCCTAGGGTTCTCTATTCCTGGAATGTAAGTTTAACTACTCCCCGCTTTTTGTTACAAACCTTCTACCTTTACAGTGTTACAGTCACAATTAGTCATGATAACAATTATTCACATCGAATAAATTATTCACATTGGATCAAAAGAATCTTATCTCCATCTTGTTTCACCAGATTCATCTAGGTAAGATGCAACCTATTCAGTGGGAGTTCTGCCTTCCCCCGCACACTCTGAAACTAAACTCTCTTTTGAAAACTTGTAAACCAGTAACTTTGTGCCTTTGTTGTTGTTGTTAAGTGCTGCTTAGTCAGTTCTGAGCCACAGCAACCCTGTATAGGATTTCCAATGAGCATCTGGTGAGCTTGAACCACAAACCTTGTAGTTCAAATGGCTTTGCAATCTGGCACATTAACACATAGTGCCACACCAGGACTCCTTTATAGCACTCCCCCCCACCCCCCCATTTTAGGTAGCCAATGTCTAAGTTGCCCGTCCCTATCAACTTTGTATACAGAGGGAATAGGATTGATACTTGATGTGAAGACTCCTTCCCTCTCAGTTGATATTTCGAACTACTACATCCATAAGCATAGATCAAGTTCACCATGATTTGTTTTTGTTTTAATTCTTTCATTTTCCAACAAACTTTAAAAAAGATTGAACATAGCTCCTGGAATCCTCATGCTACTCTTGCATGGACCCGAGAGACTTTCTAGTGTTCATTTAAGTTCCCCAGCTCGAGGATATTTGTGTGCTACCATGATCTCAAAAGCTTCTACAATCTACCTCCTCTTCCTATTACAGAATATGTGTGATTAAGTCAGTGATCCTCAAAGTATAGTCCACTGAACACTGGGGGTGTCCCCAAGACTCTTTTAGACAACTTATGAGGCCACAATAATTTTCATAATAATATCGAAGCCTAAATGTAAAATTAGAGTTCCCACGTGCCATTGTAGGATAAGCACTGAACTGCTAACTGCAAGGTCAGCAGTTCAAATCCACCAACTACTTCTTGGAAACCCTATACAGGGTGGTTATGAGTCAGAACCAACTTGACGATACTTAACAACAACAACAAATATAAAACTTAAAACTATAAAGTCCACAATGAAAAAATTTTGGGGCCTTAGAAGCGAGGATGGTGAGTATTCATCTCTCATACTTAAGACATGTGAATAAGAGGGACCAATTCCTGGACAGGGGCATCATGTGGTAAAGTGGAGAGTCAGCAAAAGAGGATGACCCCAGTGAGATGGATTAACACAATGTCAGCAACAGTAGGCTCAAACATAGCAATCATGAGGATGGTACAGGATCAGGCAGTGTTTTTAGTTACATTATACGTAGGGTTGCTATGAGTCAGAATCAACTTGACAGCATATAACAACAAAATGGGCAAAATATTGAGCAATGCAAGAAACATCAAAGAAAACTGAAGGAATACAGAGTCACTGTACCAAAAGGATTGGCTGTTGGATAACCATCTTAGGAGGTAGCATATGAACAAGAATCAGTGGTATTGAAAGAAGAAGTCCAAACTGTACTGCAGCTATTGGCAAAAAGTAGGCTTTGGGAATTTATGACAAGATGACTGAGATGTTTCAACAAATAGGTGCAATGTTGGAAATGCTCTCTCATCTATGCCAGGAAATTTGGAAGACAGCTCCCTGGGCAACTAACTGGAAGAGATCCATATTTGTGCCCATTTCAAAGAAAAGTGATCCAACCAATTGCAGAAACTATAGAAATATATATATATATATATATATATAAAATGGTTGCACCAGTGCATTGACAAGAAACAGCCAGAAACTCCAATTGGATTTAGAAGAGGACATGGAATGATGGCTACCACTGCTTACGTCAGTTGTATCTTGGCTGACACTAGAAAATATTAGACAGATGTTTAACCTGTGGTTTATTGACTATGCAAAGGCATTGGACTGTGTGACTCATAACACATTATGGACAATATTACAAAGAATGAGAATTCCAACACATGTAATTGTGCTCATATGGAACCTATACCAAAAAGCAGTTGCTCAAACAGCAAGATATGTGTCAGGGTTGTAGCCTTCCACCATACTTACTTAATGTGCATACTGAGCAAATAATATGAGAAGTTGGACTACGTGAAGAAGAGTAGGGCATTAAGCTTGAAGAAGATTCATTAACTACCTGAGAAATGCAAATGACACAACCTTGATTGTTGAACTAAAAAGTTCTTGAAGCACTTACTTTTGAAGATCAAAGACCACAGCCTTCAGTATGGATTATACTTCAACATTTAAAAAAACTTCATATTGGGACCAATAAGTAATGCCATGATAAATGGAATTAAAAAAGTGAAGTTGTCAAGTGCAAATGAGGGCACCAACCATCTATTCCATAGCACTCTCTACTAAGTGGGATTCAATAATTCATTAAATGGCCCCACAGAATTCAGTCACCATACTCACAGCTATGGGGTTTATGGAAAAGTTAATAGGTTACAATGCAGGGTTAGAAATGCTTAGGGCACCCTTGTTCTAGTCAGAACAGTCTCTCCTCAGCTGCAGAAGAAGTATAACCATAATCCTCCTTGGAAGCCAGGATGGCCAGACTTTGTCTTTCATACTTTGGACATATTATCAGGAAGGACCAGTCCCTGGAGAAGGACATCATGTTTAGTAAAGTGGAGGGTCAGAGAAATACAGGAAGACCCCCAACAAGATGGACTGGCACAGTGGCAGTATCAATTGGCTCAAATGTAGCAACGATTGTGAGGTTGGTGCACACATGTGCAGTGTTTCATTCTGTTGTGCATAGGGTTGCTGTGAGTTGGTACTGACTCAATGACACCTAAAAACAACAACAACAACAAAATGAATGCAATCCTGGTGTGGAGCTGTAGGATAAAGCATTGGACCTTAAGGTTGGTTTGAACTTCAAGGTATATAGTTCAAACCCACTAGCTGCTTCATGGAGATCTTACACAGGGTTGTGATGAGTCTTAACAGACTCGATAGCATTTAACAACAACAAAAAATGAATAAAGTTGAGTGTGTTGTTTCAAGGAAAGCAATTTCCAGTAGTTGTTGCCATTATAAGACCTGGATTTCAAACCAAATTTAGAATTTTATAGTACCTGTATTTACTCCATCTCTTTTATATGCAATGCAATAAATATGACATGTAAATATGTAAATATGACAGAGTCTCCTGTAAATATGACAGAGTCTCAGTACATAGAGGCTTTTCTGTTGAGATTGGGAGTGATATTGACAAATACGATTTGTTGGTATGTACCATTTGGAAGATCTGCAGAAGTATTTGAACCAGTATTTTCCAAATGACCCATACAATATGTTATAAAATCATGCATGAGTGTAGAATGCATGCAAAGTGCAAGAAGGAGTTCGTGGATGGCACAAAGAGTTAAGCACTAAAGTACCAGCTGAAAAGTTGCTGTTTCAAACCCAAGCCTCAGAAGACAGGCCTGACAATCTATTTCTGAAAGGTCACAGCCCTGAACATTCTATAGAGCAGTTCTACTGTCCCACGTGGGTTCGCCATGAGTCAGAATCAACTGGATGGCTCCAAAGAACAACAAAGTGCAAGAGAGAATAAAGGACTTTAATGTAAAAGAGTACAAAAAGTTTATTGATATAGTCATAGATTTCACATTGCAAATAGCCTTTAGGAATACTACTTGTCAAGTTTTGGTGTAGTATTAAAGAATAATAGCCATAATTATCTGAAAAGGCTATTGAAGCACTCGTCCCCTTTCTAACTACCTATGTACATGAGGGCAGGTTGTCTTCATAGATTTCAATTAAAGCAATGTATTGCAATAGATTGAATGCAGAAGCAGATACGAGAATACAGCAGAATACAGTTGATTTAAATCTGTGAGAGGAAGACAAAAGTACGTGCCTCCTGGTGTACTCACCTGCTCTCTTGGGAAAGAACTTGGACACAGGTAGTGTGGCCACAGTAGAGAGCATAGGCCAGAGGCGTGCTTTCGTTGATGTCACGAAGGTTGCTATCCATGCCCAACTCCAGCAGTGACTGGACACATTCTGCCTTCCCTGCAGCTGCAGCCCAGTGTAGGGGTGTCCTGGGTGAACCACAAGGGAAAAACACAAGTGTCCAAGCACATGAATAGTGTAGTTTACTTAGCCGGCACTAAGTCTTGCCAAAATTTTGGTTACTTGATGGAGTGGCATAAACAGAGAAGTGCTTGGATATGGACCAAAAGGTTGGCAGTTCAAATCCACCCAGAGGTGTCATAGAAGATAGTTTCGATCTGTTCCTGAAAGGTCACACACAGTCTTGAAAACCCCTATAAAAAAACCCCAAACCTAAACTACGGCTTTCCAGTTGATTGAACTCATAAAGGCCCTATGCTGTGGAGTAGAACTGACTCATAGGGTGCCCAAGGCTGTAATTGTCACTGAAGCAGATTGCCTTATCTTCTGTGGAGTGGCTGGTAGATTTGAACCATCCACCTTTCAGTTAACATCCTATAACATTAACCACTGTGCCACTAGGACTCTGAAAACCCTCTGAAGCAGTTCTGTTCCGTACATATGGGACACCATGAATTGGAATCAACTTGATGGCTACTAACAACAAAAACATTTTCTGTATGAAAATAATTGTTTGTGGTTGAATAGACACCATGTGCTCTGTGGGGTTTTAAATGGCTGACGTTTCAGAAGTACCTGACTTTCCTTCCAAAGCAGCCTCTTGGTGGACTCCAACCATCAACTTCTGGTTAACAGCTGAGTACGCTAACTGTAGGGGCTAAATTTAGAAAACGTAACCCAGAATACCATGTATGGAAATGTTGCTGCTAAGTGCCATCGAGTCAATTTCCACTCATAATGACCCTGCGTAGGTTTTCCGAGGCTGTCAATCTCTGTGGGAATTGTCCGTGGTTTCTCCATGGAGCAGCTGGTGGGCTTGAGCAGCCAACCTTGTGGCTCATAGTCTTATGCTTATTCTGTAAAGAGTATATAATAATGAGGCTTAAGGATGATAGTGTGAATGTGTCAGAGGTCTTTCTAACCCAACATATCCCTGGCCCTTTCACCTTCGCTGACATTTCTGAGAATTTCTTAGAAGAGGAAGTACTGAGTCCAAGGACTTGGAAAGTTTTAGCGCTCTTTATACATGGTGACAAACTGTCTTCCAAGAAGATTGTCTCAATTTGTCCCTCTGCCTTCTCTAATTTTGAGGATTTTCAACATCTTTTAAAAATGTTGCCAATTTGATGGGCAAAATGATGCTTTACTGTTGTTGTCTTTTGCATTTCTTTACTTAAAAGTGAAGTTAGACTTTTGAAATACATAGGCTGAGGGGGCTTCAAAAAGTTCAAGGTAGAATTCTGTTGTGTTTTAATTCACATATTTAGTTTCCATTTGAATTTCATCACTGAAATGCTTTTTGCTCATTTTTCTGTTAGGAACACGTGTGTCCCTATGTGTATGTTACTATGTGTGGTGATAAGAGGGACCAATTTGACTTTTTCTATTGATAAGAAGGACCAATTTGACTTTTTCTATTGATATAGACAATTTTTCTCAGCACTATTTCTCAATGTGGTAGATCATATGTTGAGATACTGACTTATGTACATATTTTTCTGTCTTTCTTCCTTTCCCCATTCAAGGATATAGTTGATTTTGTGTTCAACCTAGAGGAGAGCTTTAGCAGGGTAGGAAAGAAAAAATAGTGTTTTCTTGTTTCCAAAAACCAAGCCCAGAACTGGGAGTAAATTTTAAAAGTTAACCGCAAAATCAAACTGTTAAGTGCTGTTAGGTCAGCTCCGACCCACAGCGACGCTGTATAAGGTTTCTGAGGAGTGGCTGGTGAGCTTGAACTGCTGACCTTGCGGTTCAAATCGGCTTCGCAATCCAGTGCGTTAATCCATAGGAAATTCTGAGCAGTGGGTCTAGGCCACGGGACTATAGGCAACCCTCATAACACAGAATGGAAGCAGTTGAACACCATCAGACTTGAGAGGATAAGGAAAGAGGAGAGTGTCACCTCCCACCTGTTTTCCAGACCCTCGACATGGTATAAACCTCCAGATGGATACAAGAGTGCAGCATTCGTTCAGTTATCAGTAACCAAGGATTGATTGACAGACTATGTAAATGTTTCCCAGAGAACGTCCAGAAATATGTAGGGAAGAGAAGTTTATAAAAGTCTATCTTCCCTACTCCTCCTCCCCATCACCCCAAACAAAAAGACTGTCCTTCCAGAAGACAGGTGGAGCAATTGTTCAGATTACTGAGTTGTGTATTAAAGAGTAGTAAAACCCCATAGACTATTGAAGAAGATTGAAACATTTAAGCTACATAGTTGTTTCTGGGCTATGTGTTCTGTGCCATTAATCTCAGACTAGTACCAGAATAAAAATTGGACACTGAATAAGGAAGACCGTAGAAGAATTGATGCATTTGAATTGTAGTGTTAGAGAAGAATATTAAAAATACCATGGACTTCCAGAAGAACTAACAAATCTGTATTGGAAGAAGTACAGCCAGAATGCTTTTTAGAAGCCAGGATGGTGAAACTTCGTCTCTCATACTTTAGACATGTTATTAGGGAGGGACCAGTTCCTAGAGAATTACATCATGTTTGGAAAAGTGGAGTGTCAGCCCAAAATAGAAAGACCCCCAAGGAGATGGATTGACATAGTGTCAGCATTGCTGCTAAAACTTTAACAAAAATGGTGATGGTGGCTCAGGACCAATTGTCAGGATGGCTCAGGCAGTGTTTTGTTCTGTTGTGCATAGTTTGCTATGAATTGGAAGTGACTCATAGACTCCTAGTATGGCACTGTAGGATCAGCACTGGACTTCGAACCACAAGGCCAGCAGTTCAAACCCACCAGCTGTTTCTCGGAAACCCGGATCACTAAGAGTCAGAACTGACTCAACAGCACTTAACAACAACAGCAACAATGGCACCTAACAGCAACAACAACAGTACCACAATGCTTTAAAATAGTTTAGATTTATGATGTGTTTGAATATCTAGTAATAGCTTGGATCAACCATCAACACTCATGGAAGCAGCAGTCAAGAAATCAAACGACATATTGCATTAGGCAAATCTGCTGCCCAAGATCTTTTTAAAGAGTTAAAGAGCAAAGATTAAAAGCAAAGCTTCAGGACTAAGGTGCGCCTGACATAAGCCATGGTATTTTCAATAATATCATATGCAAGCAAAAGCTGGACAGTGAATAAGGAAGATGGCAGAAGAATTGATGCATTTGAGTTAAGGTGTTGGGGGAGAATATTTTGAAAGTACCGTGGGCTGCCCATAGATCCAACAGATCTGTGTTGGAAGAAGTGCAGCCCAACTGCTCCTTGAAGGCCAGGATTGCCAAACTTCGCCTCTCATACTTCGGACATACAGTCAGGAGAGACCAGTCGCTGGAGAAGGATATCATGTATGGTAAGGTGGAGGGTCATAGAAAAAGAGGAAGATACCCAGTGACGTGGATTGGTAAGGTGGCAGTATCAATGGGCTAAAGAGTGGCAACAGTTGTGAGGTTGGCCCAGGACTAGGTAGAGTTTCATTCTGTTATGCATAGGGTTGCTATGAGTTGGTATCAACTTGATGGCACCTAACAACAGGGCAAGATACTCCATAAATTCCTTCTACCTCTTTTTTTTTACCACTGTTGTTTCCAGGTGCCAGCTAATCTAGCCAGTTCCAACTCACAGTGACCCTGTGGACAACAGAATGAAACACTGCTTGGTCCTGCTTCATCCTCACAATTGTCCCTAGGCTTGACTTCATAGTGGCAGCCACTGTGACAATTTTTGTAATTGAGAGTCTTCCTCTATTTTGCTGAACCTTTACTTTAGCAAGCATGATGATGTCCTTCTTCAGGGCCTGATCCCTTCTAATAACATGTCCAAAGTAAGTGAGACTTACTTACAAAGTAATTCTTGCCATTATGGTTTAAGGAGCATTCTGGCTATATTTCTTCCAAGATAGATATGTTTGTTCTTCTGGCACTTCATGGTATATTCAATCTTCTTTTGTCAACATCATAATTCAAAGTAATTAATTCTTTTTTGGTCTACTTATTCATTGCCCAGTTTTGCATGCATACGCAGCTATTGAAAATACTATTGCTTGTATGAAGAGATATAGTTGCTCTTCAACACTTATAGAGAGATATTTTGAGGTAGATTTGTCCAATGAACCATATCCTTTGATTTCCTGATTGCTGTTCTATTGTCGATCAAAGTAAAATAAAATCCTTGACAACATTAATCTTTTCTCTTTTTATCATGATGTTGTTTATTGGTCCCATTGTAAGGATTTCTGTTTTCTTTATGTTGAGGTGTAATCCATACATTTGTCTGTTGTCTTTGATATTCATAAGTAAATGTTTCAAGTCTTCTTCACTTTCAGCAAGTAAGGATGTGTTTTCTGCATATTGCAGGTTGTTAATGAATCTTCCTTCAATCCTGGTGCTGAGTTCTTCATACAGTCCAACCTCTCAGATTGTTTGCTCAGCATATAGATAGAATGGCGAAAGGTTACAACTGTGACACACAGTTTCCTGATTTTAAACCAAGTAGTATCCCCTTGTTCTGTCTGAACAATTGGCTCTAAGTCTATGGACAGATTCCACATGAGTACAATTAAGTTTTCTGGAATCCCCATTCTTTGGAGTGCTGCACATAATTTGTTATGCTCCACAGGGTCCATTGCCTTTGTATAATCAATAAAGCACAGGTAAACATCTTTCTGGTTTTCTCTGCTTTCAGCCAGTATTTATCTGATATTAGCAATTATATCCCTCATTCCACGCCCTCTTCAGAATCTGGCTTGATTGTCCGGCAGTTCCCTGTTGATGTACTGCTGCAACCATTTTGGAAGTATCTTCTGCAAAATTTTACTTGTGTCAGATAATAATGATAGATACAGTTTGATACTTCCCACACGAACACTAAAATGATATCTGCCTTTCTTAGTTCTTTTCATAGATGAATCAGAGTCCCCAGTGCTGGATCGGTTTGTTGAAGCATTTTAACTGATATTCAGTCAATTCTGGAGCCTTGTTTTTCACTAATGTCTTCAGTG